ATGATTGATATTTTACTTGTTGTCTGGCGGAATTATCGGCTTTTTTCTGCTGTTCTTTTTTTAGTTCAGCGGCTAATAAGTTAGCGTGTTGTTCTCAACTGGCTTTGCCTTTTTTGTATCTCGTCAGCAGTTCCTCCAATTTTAATTCAGTTTGGCAACAATTATTTAATCTTTCTAGTTGCAATTCTTCTGCTTCAATATAATGAGTTTCTTTTTTTGCTCATTCGTTTTGTAAATAATCAATCAGGTTCAACAAATGCTCCTCGTTTTCTTTGAATGCTTCTAATTGGTTTTCTAGCAAGGGGAAAGCAAAAAAACTACCAAATTACAGTCAATAAATTAAGCAAGAGCCAAGAAAAAATAAATAGGTTAAAGAAAGAATTACAAAAAATCCAAGAGCAATTAAGCCACGAAAGAAACGCCAAAAAGGAAGCCGAGAGCAATTGACAAGCCGAAAAAGAAAAAGTTAGTAGCCTAGAAACCGAATTAAACGAAAATGACGAAATATTAGCTAAAAAAAACAGTGAAATAAGTAGATTGGTGAATGATTTAGCGGCTGCTTATTCCACGATTAGCCAACTAAATAAGCAAATAGTTAATTGCGAGGATGAACTAGACGAACAAGAACAAGATTTAACAACGGCAGAGGAAATATTAGCCGACAAGAACCAAAAAATAGCCCAAAATCAGGTTATTTTAAGCCAAGAACAAGCTAATTTATTGAGAGAAAAGCAAGACCGCCAAAGAACCCAAAACGAACGAGACAATTACCTCGCTGAACTTCACGAATTAGAGCAGGATTTTTCTGAACAAGCAAGATTACTAGCCGACAAGAATGCTAAATTAGCTGCCGCAATAGCCGAAAAAAATGACTTACAAAAGCAATTAACTGATGAACGGAACCTTAACCAAAATTTACAAAACCAAATTAACAATCACAATTGTCCTGCTCCTGCCCCGCACACTTGCCCGATTGTTAATGAAGTAAATTGTTCTCATGCTGATTACCAAGAAATCAAAGAGCAGCGGGATAATTACCAACAGCAAGCCCAAACTGCTTGCCAAGAAAAAGAGGAAAAGGAGAAACAAATCATTCAACAAATCAATCAAGACTTACATTTAGGTTTAAATAATCCGAGTTTAAAACAAGTAATTAACCGAATTCAACAGTTAATTAATAAACCGCCCATTTACTTTACTTCTGATAATGGCAATTTACAAAAAGAACTAGACCAAGCCAACCAAACTATTACCAGACTAGAACAAGAATTAGCGACAAATAATACTCCTTTTGGGGAAAACCTAGAAACTATTAAAGAAATTGACTTAAAAGGTTTAGTAAAAGAATTAAATATTCAGTTATCTCCTAACGCCATTCAGCAAATGGAGCAAGCCACTAATTATCAACAGTTAGCCACTACTCGCAATGCGGAAATTAAAAAGCATTTACAGAAAGATTTAAATAGTTTAGCGGTGGCTAACGCGTCAAAAGAAATAATTCAACCACCAAATAAGGAAAGAATTATTTTAATTAGTTGCTTAGTGGCTAGTTTGCTAACTGTTGGCGGATTGTTGATAAAATTAAAAAAAGCCAAAAAAAACCAATTCACCAAGTAAAAATCCTTTAAATGGCAAATCCCATTGAACTCCCCGGGGAAAGTAAAAATTGAATTAAACTCAAAGGTGCCCAAGGCTGAAAAAACACTAATGACAATACCATTTGAAAAAAAGACCTCCTCCACGGCGACCACTGGGATGTTATAGATAGAAATGGCAATAAAGTCAAAGAAATCGACTTCTTTGGTCGGCAAATTTGACCCTCCGGATCCAAGCATAAACATAAAAAATCTTAATATGAAAAACCAAAATCCTTATTCTCATTACCAAAACACCGAAGAATGAGCCATTATTGAGCGTTTATTAAAT